ATCTTCACTGTTATGATATTTTTTAGAATTTCTTTTTTTTTCTTCTAGAATTCCAACTTTCTAAAATCTTATATTTTAAAAAGAAATTCTGAATAACAATGAAGATTTAGCATTTTTCCATTGATTGAATACTTGCTTGCTATTTTTTCAGCTGAAATTTGATTTTTTTTTCAGCCGAATTCTTCGAAAATTCAATTTTGTGACATTAAAATATACTTTTTTCAAAACCGAAGAATTTGAAATTCTGATTTTCTGACGTTATTAGAGGCTGCGAAATGTCCGGTTGCGAAATGTCCGGTTGCGAAATGTCGCGGCTGCGAAATGTCCGGTTGCAAAATGTCCGGTTGCGAAATGTCCGGCTGCGAAATGTCCGGTTGCGAAATGTCCGGTTGCGAAATGTCCGGTTGCGAAATGTCGCGGCGGCGGAATGTCCCGGAGCCAGTATATCACTGGCATCAGGGGGTCTTGCGACACCCTGAAACACGAGGGGGGACGAATGAAAAATGAGGAAACGGTGTTGTATCTTCAGTTCCCTTCCGTTTTCACTTAAGGGGCGGGGCTTAGCACACCTGCACTTATCCCGCCCACCCTCCCCTGGGAAACTCCGCCCCTCTTCTCACACTTTACAAGCCCTAATACGTCTTCAGTTGGTATTTGAAGTAGTAAAAGACAGTAAAACAGGTGCGAAATGGATTCACACCTCAGATTGTAAACCGCCGCAGGTGTCATAAAAGAATAGATATGCTCTCATGGGAAACTATCAAGAGAACTTGAAATTCCAAGTCTAATAGCTCCTTTTAGACATTTTTTCCGAAATTCAGATAAAAACTCACATTGTTCTAAAATAATTATTTGTATAGAAAAGCTAAATAGTGCAACAACAGCCCCCGCTTGTTGTCGTAACTTGGATTACTTTAGACTGGTATACTGGGTTACTGTAGAGATACTGTAGTTAGCTACAAGGTACCTATCTACTATCCAAATAAGGTTATACTGTAGGTATACTGTAGCTATTTGAAAACTCCACGTGGTTAGGTTTACCTGTTGTTTATACGGCCGGCTTACTGTAGACATTTCACTGTAGATACTGTAGCTCTAGAGTAGCTACAGTATCTTCATCTAGAATTCAGGTTTACTGTAGTTGTACTATTGTTCCCAGGAACTACAAAAAATAAAGCATACCGTAACCAATTAAATTCCATTAAATTCGAAAAATTTCAAATTCCCCCTACTTTTTCAGCCATCAGTACCTGGATTTCTGCAAACTGTCAGTGTCCAATCGACGTCACAAAATGAGAAACGGCGAGAAATGCGGAAAGAGGAAAAACGAACGAGAAGAGAGTTGAATCGAGTGATACATGCGTTTGGGGATGAGGAGAAGTTGGAGCTGGAATTGGCAAAAAAGGAAATACAGGTGAAATCTGAAATTTTCCAAATTTTTGAACTTTGGAAGAAACTGAAACTCCGAAGTTTCTAATTTTCGAAATTTTGTAATTTTACTTTATGTAATTTTTTAATTAATGAAATGTTGTAATTTTAATTTTGAGATTCCGGAACTCTATTTCTGTAATTCGAAAATCCATAATTCTGGAATTTTGAATTTTGAAATTTCGAAATTCTGAAAGATTCTAAAAATCTAAAATGCCTATTATCCTATATTTCGATCTTTTGTGATTTTCAAAATTCAAAGATTTTGAGATTCTGAAATTCAAAAATTTTTAATTTGTGAAAAAAACTCAAATTCTAGAATTACGGGAGATTCTGGAAAATGCTTCATTCTGAATTTTTGGAATATCAAGATTTTGGAATTTCGAGATTCCGATTTTCTGCGAACTTTGGAATTTTAGAATTCTAAACTCGAATTTTTGAAGATTCAGAATTTCTGAAAAGTTTTGAAATATTGCCATTTCGAGATTTTGACTTAAATTCTAAAATAATAAATTCCAAAGTTCCAGAATTCGGTAATTGTGACATTCTCAAATTTGGAGCATTTGAGATTCTGAGATTTCGGAACTCTGAAATTTTGAAATTCTGAAATCCAGAAAATCAGAAATTCAGAAAAAATATGTTTTCAAATTCCATAATTCTGAAATTCAGATATTTGGAGATTCTGAAATTCTGGAATCCTGGAATTCCGGAAGATTCAAGCTTCTGATCTTCTGATTATTTGCAGCGTCAACGTCAACTGGAAATCGATTCAATGAAATGGAAACCATCAATTCAAAGCGGCCAGCGAGTCGAAGAAATCTATCCCTACGTTTTTGATGCTCGAATTCAATCTGGCCACACGATTTTCGATATCAATGGAATGAAATTTGCGCTTCCAGAAGGTTCCAGAAGAGACACTTTTAAGACGCATGAAAGTGTTTTGGTACCACCATCGAATAAAGGAGATATTGACAAAATTCAAATTGTTTATATTAAAGATATGGACGAATTGGGACAGAAGGGGTTTAAGGTGAGGCTGTTAATTGTCTGGAATTAGCTGAAAATGGTCCGAAGTGTCCTAGAATGGTCCAAAAACGTCTAATAATCCAAAATTGACTAAAATTGTTACCAAAATGAGAAATTTAGAAAGTCCAAAAATTTTTTGCAAAAGACCATTTTAACCCCCGCTAAAAATGGTCCCAAACAACATGAACTGTGACTAAAATGTATGAAACATAGTTCGAAATTTCTCTGAAAATGGTTCAAAGTTGGTCTAAAATAGCCGAAAATCATTGAAAATTAATTTTAATGGTCTAAAATAGACTTAAATTGTCTGAAATCGACCAGGAATGATTTGGAAAATGATCCTTAAATGATCCAAAGTTCACTAAAAATGGTCCAAAATGGTCTCAAATGGCATAAAATCACTCAAAATTAAATTTGAAATGGTCAAGATTGATTTTAAACTTTCCAAATTTGGTCTAAAAGTGACCCGAATTTCGTTCAAAACGGTCCAAAACCTAAGAAAGTGGTTCGAAATTCGCTAAAAATGGTCTTGTGGTCCACTGCCAGAAACCTAAAATTGTAAAAAATGAGCCGAAATGCTCTAAAAATGCCTCCATCTCTTAATTTCTCAAATTTTTCCAGGGTTTCGAAAAGCTGAACGTGATCCAATCGATCGTATTCGAACAAGCGTACAAAACCAAAGAGAATCTTCTGATTTGTGCACCGACTGGAGCCGGAAAAACGAACATCGCAATGTTGACAATTTTGAATACAATTCATGAGCATCAGAATTCGAGAGGAGAAATTATGAAGGACGACTTTAAGATTATCTATATTGCACCTATGAAAGCGTTGGCAACTGAAATGACCGAATCGTTCGGGAAGAGATTGGCACCGTTGGGATTGAAGGTAAGAAGAAGATTCTGGAAAATCCTGAAGATGCTGAACATATTCAAAATTCGGGAATTATTCAGAATCCCAAAATCTCGAAAATTCCAGATATCCAACATTTGAGGTTTTTAAAATTCGAAAATTCTTACGTTCTGAATTTTTTGAATTTTAGATAAATTCTGAAGTTTCGAAATTTAGAATTTTTGAGCTTCCTTTCGTATTCTCTGGACTTGAAAGATTCTGAAATTCTAGAAACTTGAAATCTGTAAAAATACTCAAAAGACAAAGTTTTGAAATTCTGGAGTTCTAAAATTATCGAATTTTAAGGTTTTGAAGTTCTGAGATTCTAAAAAATTCCGAATTTTCTCTGATTTTTAGAAATTCTGAAATTTCGAATTTCCAAATTTTAGAATTTCTCAATTTCTGAAATTTAGAAATTCTGAAAATCTGAAGCTATAAAATTCTGAAAATTTGAAATTCTGAGATTCTCAAAGTCTGAGATTTGGAAATTCAGAATTTCTGAAGCTATAAGATGCTGAAGTTCTGAAATTCTGAATTTCTGAACTTTCGAGTTACCGAATTTTAGAATTTCTCAATTTCTGAAATTTCGAGATTTTTCAAATTTCTGAATTTTTTGAATTTTGAGAATTTCTAAATTTCTAAATCTCGATATTCAGAATTTTCGAATTTTCCAAATATTCTCATAAACTCGCTATTTTTCAGGTGAAAGAGTTGACCGGAGACACTCAACTGTCTCGAAATGAAGTGGCCGACACCCAGATGCTAGTGTTAACACCCGAGAAATGGGATGTAATCACTCGAAAATCATCCAGTGATAACTCCATAATCAACACAGTCCGCCTACTAATCATCGATGAAGTTCATTTGCTACACGACGAAAGAGGTCCAGTTATTGAGACATTGGTTGCGAGAACACTTCGACAGGTTGAAATGTCACAGTCTGGAATTCGAATTGTTGGATTATCAGCTACGTTGCCCAATTATATTGATGTCGCTCGATTTTTGAGAGTTAATCCTTATAAGGGACTGTTCTTTTTCGATGGCAGATTCCGACCGGTGCCGTTGACACAGAAGTGGGAGTTTTTAAAAAGTTAAAAACTTGGGGAATTCCAATTATTTTGCAACAAAAATCACATTTCTAGCCCTTCTAGAACCCGAGATACGGCGATTTGAAGCTTCGGAGAAACGCAGACAGTTAGAGTGCCTCGTTTTCTGCGCCTCTAGGCTCAAAAACTATGAAGAGCTGGATCTCGGGTTCTAGACGAGCTAGAAAGATGAAAATTAGAGGAATTATGTAAAAATTAGTAGATTTTGTAAAAAAAAAGGGTTTTCTGAAAATTTGGAAAAATTTTCATGTTTTCGGAAAGTTTTAAATAATGTAGATTATTTTATGAAATGGGAATTTTCAAACATTTCTGTTCAATTTTCATCTTTCTAGCTCATCTAGAACCCGAGATACAGCCATTTAACGTTTCGAAGAGACGCAGACAGTCAGAGTGTCTCGCCGTCTGCGTCTCTTGCCTCCAAAACTTCAAATCGCTGTATCTCGGGTTCTAGAAGAGCTGGAAATGTGATTTTTTTTGCAAAATGCTTCATATTTGCTGGGTTTTATTGAGCTACTTTAATCAAATTTCAGATTCATTGGCACCCGAAAAGCAGGCAACTTCCGTGACAACCAAACACTAATGGACAATGTTTGTTATGATGAAGTAGTGGATTTTGTAAAGCGAGGACATCAAGTGCTGGTTTTTGTACATACTAGAAATGGAACAGCGAAGCTTGGAGAGGCTTTCTGTGCGAGAGCATCAGGTACTACCGTATTCCTTTATATTCACAAAATGTCCCAATTCCTCTTTTTTTTTCAGTTCTCGGCCAAATGGATCTGTTCCTACCGAAAAACAAGGAATCGAGTAAATATGTGCAAGCGGACAAAGCGATCAATATATGCCGAAATCGTGCTCAAATATCACCACTTTTTCAACGTGGATTCGGAATCCACCATGCTGGATTATGTCGTCAGGATAGGATTCTGATGGAACGATGTTTTGCTGAAGGACATGTTTCTGTTCTTTTCTGTACGGCCACACTCGCATGGGGTGTCAATTTACCAGCTCATGCGGTTGTCATTAAGGTGGGCGGAGCTTAGAGGGATTTTGGGGCTTTAGAAAAAAACAATCTGAAATTCTTCTAGTTTATGTACCATTGTGGCCTAGAAAACTCAGCTTGCAAAAGTTATGCACCATGTTGAATGTCCTAGAAAACACATCGAGCGAACTCGATTTCTCATGATTTCATAAATTAGCAACGTTAGGACATCTGGACACACAGACACAAGAACTTACTGTAGCCCAATGTTCTATATTCCAGGGAACAGACGTGTTCGATGCGGAAAAAGGAGTGTTCACCGATTTGGGCGTTCTCGACGTTCAACAAATTTTCGGTCGCGCCGGTCGCCCGCAATTCGAAAACGAGGGACATGGAATCATCATAACGACGAGAGATAAAATTGATAAATATCTGACGATGCTGGTCCATCAGAATCCGATTGAATCCAACTTCTACGCACGTCTTCATGATAATTTGAATGCTGAGGTGGCACTGGGTACAGTATCCACAATTGATGAGGGTGTCGAATGGTTGACGTATACTTACATGTATACCAGAGCTATTAAGGTGAGGTTTGGGGATCTTGGTAGTTTCAGAACCGGTCATTCCGCAACCGGACGTTTTAGAACCGCGGTTGCGAAGTTGTCAGTTCTAAAACGTCCCGAAGCCGAAAAAGTACAAAATTCTAATTTTTCAGAACCCAATGGCTTATGGTATCGCTTATAATGCCATAGAACGAGATCCAAATCTACGTGATCACTTTGGAAATGTAATTCGAGAAGCGGCGATTCAATTGGATCAGAATAAAATGATTCGATATGATATGGCGTGAGTAGAGGTTTAAAATTGACTAGAAGGGGTCAAATATGACGAATAATAGTCCAAAAATTGACTATAAAAGGCCTAAAACTGTCTTAAAATGGTCCAAAATTGACTGGAATTGGTCTAATATCTACTAAAATGATCCATTTTTTCCAGAACCGAATACCTGAATTCGACGGATTTGGGACGAATCGCATCGAATTTTTATGTGAAATACGAGACGATTCAATTGTTGAATGAAGCAGAAAAAGGCGTTGGACTACCGGTCGCATTTACGTCTTTTATGCCGGATGATATGGTTTTGGGTCTGGTTTCAATGGCAACGGAATTCGCGAATATTAAGGTTCAAAATCTACGAAAAAAGGTCATTTCGCAACTGGGATGTTTTAGAACCGCGACGTTTTATAACAGCAATTTTTCAGATCTTTGACATTTTAGAACCGCGTCATTTTAGAACTGTAAAGTTTTAGAAATGCGACGTTTTAGAACCGCGATATTTTAAAACTACAACATTTTAAAACCGCGACGCTTAAGAACCGCACCATATTATAACCGCGAAGTTTCAGAACCGGTCATTTTAGAACGGTTGCGAAATGTCCATTTTGGAGGAAAATCGGTTCTAGAATGTCAGTTCCAAGGTGTCCGGTTGTGAAATAGTAAGCTAGATGACCACTTTGGAACCGGACGTTTAGGAACCGTTACTTCAAACCCCGAAATCAGGTGTTTTAGTATAGTTGCAAAATAGACAGTTCTAGAACGTCCGGTTTCGAAATGATCAGTTTCAAAATGTTTTGTACAAACCATATCAGCCGGTTGCGTCGATTTGACCAAATTTTCAAAATCGAACATTTCGCAACTGACCGGGTCGAAAACATCCGGTTGCGAAATGTCCACTATAAAGGAAATTGGTTCTAGAACATCCAGTTGCGAAATGGTAAGCTTGATGATCATTTGGCAACTAAACATTTCATAAAGGGTGCGACATGACTGGTTCTGAAGTGTTTAGTTGCCAAATGTCTCATTTTTTTGCAGTGTCGCGAAGAGGAAATCAACGATTTGGAAGAGCTAATGAGTTTCGGATGCATTCTTCCAGTACGTGCCGGTGGTTTGGCAAGTGTTGCTGGCAAAGTCAATGTCCTTCTTCAATCTTTAATCTCTCGAACTCAAACTCGTAATTCTGCACTAATGTCTGAGCAATTGTATGTCCAACAGAACGCTGGACGTCTGTGTCGAGCAATGTTCGAAATGGTTCTTAAAAATGGGTGGAGCCAGGCGGCCAACGCATTTTTGGGAGTTGCCAAGTGTGTTGAGAAGCAGATGTGGTTGAATCAGTGCTCATTGAGACAGTTTATACAGGTAAGCGGGTGATATGGCGTGATTATAGTCCCAAATCGACAAGAAATGCCTCGAAATTGTCTTAAAATAACCGAAAAAAAACGCGAAATTGTTGAAAAATGGACTATGGCAAGTATTGAAATAGTCAGAAATAGTCCTTTTGACATTCTAAAGTTTCTGGGTAGAACAAATTTTGGAATTTAAAAAAAATTAGGTCATGACTAGAAAAAATTGGGTCATGGCCTAGAAAAATGCAGGTCATGAACTAGAAAAAAGTAAGTCACGGCTTAGAAAAAGTAGGTCATGACCAAGGAAAAATTGGGCCATGACCTAGAAAACTCCAGGTCATGACCTAGAAAAGAAAACTCGGATCTCGGGATTTTTTTTAATTTTTTGATCTGTAATCTGTCTAAAATTGTCTGGATTTTCAATCTGCAATAATGTCCATGAATCACCAAAAACAAATTTTTTTTGGAAAAAAAAATCAAAATTTTGTGTTTCAGATCATCAACATTCCAATCACCTGGATCGAGAAAATCGAGCGGAAGAAAGCGAGAGAATCGGATCTCCTAGAATTGTCTCCAAAAGATTTGGGATACATGTTCAGTTGCGATGGAGAACGACTCTATACGTATTTGAGATATTTGCCACGGATGGATGTCGAAGCGAGATTTAAGGTATTCGGAAATTGGATAATCTGAGATTCTGAGATTCTAGGGGTTTAGAATTTTAAGATTTTAGGATTCTAGGATTCCAAGATTCTGAGTATTCCGAGATTCGGGAAATCTGAAGTTCTGTGTTTTTGGAATTTTGACACTCTGAGTATTCTGAGATTCTAATATTCTGAGATTCTTAGATTCGGAGATTCTGAGTTTTTGAGATCCTGATATTTCGTGATTCTAAGATTCTAAGATTCGTAGGATTCTTAGATTATAAGTATTCTGAATTTCAACATTTCCTAACCTTCTTTTCCAGCCAATCACCTACACCATCGTTCAAGTGGAAGTAACCCTGACCCCCGCATTCATTTGGAACGACGCCATTCACGGCAAATCGGGACTCCAATCGTTCTATCTCGTCCTGGAGAACATCAATGAGAATTTGATCATCCATCAAGAACGAATTGGAATCGGAAAGATGAAAGTGTCGAAATGCGAACCCCAACATATCATTTTCACTATCCCCATAGTCGACTGTCAACTGACAAACAACTTCCAGCTACGCGTCGCTTCTGAATACTTTGTCACAGAAGACGTCGTCGTCCCGATGAGTCTTCATAATTGTATCCTTCCAAAGTCGTTCAAATCGCATACGGATCTTTTGGATTTGGAACCCCTGCCGATTAAAACGTTGAAAAATGTGCATTTTGAAGCGATTTATGGATTCGACTACTTCAATCCGATTCAGGCGCAAGTGTTCTTTAGCTTGTACAAAACTGATAAATCGGCACTGATTGGAGCACCGACGGGATCCGGAAAAACGCTTTGTGCAGAGTTGGCAATGTTTCGATTGTTACAGGTATAGAGATTTCTTTGGGAATAGAAATCCACCTAACTTTCAACTTTGAGCCATTTATCTTGCTTCCTGGAAAAGCTATCAAAAAATGATCAATTGATAAAATGTTACTGATAACATGATAAGCATTTTATCAGTTGACCACTTTTTGATATCTTTTACAGGAAGCGAGATAACTTCGCTCAAAGTTCACCACAATTTTCCCAAGCCAAAACTACAGTAATCCCAAATTCAATAAATTTGCTCAAAATCCAATTCCAGGACCACCCTGGTATGAAAGTCGTCTACATTGCTCCACTGAAATCTCTGGTCCGCGAACGTGTCGACGATTGGAAGAAGAAATTTGAAGTCGGAATGGGCTATCGCGTAGTCGAGGTGTCTGGCGACGTCACACCGGATCCAGAAGAGCTCTCGGCGTCCTCAATACTCATCACGACCCCAGAGAAATGGGATGGAATATCCAGATCGTGGGCAACAAGAGAATACGTCAGACGTGTTGGGCTTATCGTCCTTGATGAGGTTCATCTCCTTGGTGTTGATCGTGGAGCTGTCCTCGAAGCCATCGTATCCCGTCTGAAGATGATTACCAGAAGAAGTCACACACGCGACGAACCCGTACGTCTTCTAGGTCTCTCCACAGCTCTGGCGAATGCTGGTGACGTGGCAGAATGGTTAGGAATTCCTGACGAAGCCTGCTACAACTTTCGACCTTCGGTTCGCCCGGTTCCGATTTCAGTTCACATTCAAGGCTTCCCAGGACAACACTATTGTCCGCGGATGGCGCTGATGAATAAGCCAGCGTACAAAGCGATTCTGACGTATTCTCCGAGAAAGCCTGTGCTGATTTTTGTGTCTTCGAGACGACAGACAAGACTGACGGCGTTGGCATTCGTGAATTTGTTGATTGCCGATCACAATCCGAAGCAGTGGTTGAATATGGAGATGTTGGAGTTGGAGGTGTTGATGGCGTCGATTAAAGATGAGAATCTAAAACTGACGCTTCCATTCGGCATCGGAATGCACCACGCCGGTCTCTCGGCTCACGAGCGTGCAATCGTTGAGCAGCTTTTCATTGAGAAGAAGATTCAAGTGCTCATCGCCACTGCCACGTTGGCATGGGGTATCAATTGTCCCGCCCATTTGGTCATTGTCAAGGGAACCGAATATTTCGACGGAAAGAAGGGGAAATATGTGGATTTTCCGGTTACAGGTTGGTCTTATTTCCCGGGGGAAAATCGGCCAAAATTAGGTCAAACTTGTCAAAAAAATTCTAAAAACCTTGCAGTCCATAAATCAATAATTAGGTCAACGTCGGGGTTCCGAAAGCTGAGCTTCAAAAATGGGTCACTGTAGGACCTACTGGAAATTGTTTTTAACACTCAAATTAAACCTGAAGTTCGATGAGTCAAAAAAAAAACGATAATTAGGTCATTTAAGCCAAATTAAGTAAGTCAAATTTTAAAACCGGAAATCACAAAAATCGATTAGTTAAGTAGGTCAAACGTAGATCGAAAATTCAATTTTTCTCAATTTTTCTTCAATTTTCTTTATTATTCAATACACAAAGACACACATAGACATAAACTTTAAAAGAGAGTTAAAACAGGAAAATCCCTCTACTCCTTGACGTCGTCCTTTCTCAACGACTCCCCCTGCGTCTTCTTCTCGTGTTTCGCGTGATCCTTCTCCTTCTGCTGATCCGATTCGCCATCGTCGGCGGTTCGCATCTTCTTCTCGTTGGGACCCGACTCCTGTTGCTTCTCCGGACCAGACGCCGGTTGATTGCCACGTTGAGACCGTTGCGATTTTTTGGATTTTTTGGATTTCTTCGATTTTTTCGATTTCGTCACTTTTCCCGATTTCTTGGCGGCCTGGAAATAAAAGGATTTGAAACACGAATCGTGTTACACAATATATTATCTAGGACATTTACCATGGTGGCCTAGAAAATTCATTTTGAGGAAGGTTAGGCCACCATGTTGGGATGCTAAAATTTCGAGGCCGCGGTCGACAACGAGCCCAAACTAATACCTTATCATCAGCCGGTGGTGGTCCACAATCGACACTCTGCACCGTCGTGTTCTTCTTCTTCTTTTTGCCCTTGTCTTTGCCCTTGCCCTTGTCCGATTGCTGTTTGGCGTTGATTTGGGAGGGTCGCTTGACGAGCTCATTATTGGCAACGTCGTAGGCGTCGAGGCATGCCGACTGATCGACTGTCGTCGTCTTCGTGTGATCGTCGTCGACCATCTCGATGCGAAGCGTGTTCTCGTGGTTGTACTCGACTTCGGCTGAAAAGAAGGGTTTTGGGTTACTGTATCTCGATTTTTTTTCCAATTCGTAATATTCAGAACGATTCTCCGGATCCACAAATACGAAAAATCAAAATTTCAAAAAAAAACATTTTTTTTCGAATTTTCGAATTTCTAACTTTCCAAAATGATTTTCGAAATTTAGGATTTCTGATTTTTGAATCAAGGACATTTCGAAAAAAATTCAAATTCAAAAACGCATCAGGTGAATAACAGGCCGTTTCTAAGTCATTTACCATTGTGGCCTAAAAAACTCAACTTGCAAAAGTTAGGCCACTAGGTTAAATGATTTCATATCCCCACTTACCCTTAGTCTCATCCTTTGTCGCCGTCTTCTTCGCATCCTTCTCATCCTGATCTTCCGACGTCGTCTTCCCCTTCTTGACCTTCTTCGGCGCTTTAGCTCCGCCCTTTCCACCTCCTTCGACCGCCGCTCCATCGGCGTTCTTCGCGTCAGCATACGTTGATATCGCCGACGCTTTTGTGTCCGATTGATCAGATTCTCCAACTGGATAACCAGAATTCTTATGATCGCCCATTGCAGTGCCAGTGTTACCACCCGTCGTTGCTCCCGATCTAATACCAATCGTCGTACCGATGGTTTTTTGAGTCTTCTTGATTTTTCCACTTTTTGACTTTTTCTTACACCATTTCGAGCAGTTGGCGAGTGCTAGGGCTAGGATTAGGAAACAACCTGGAACATTTTCGAATTTTTGGATTTTTGAGTTTTTTATATTCGAAAAGTTAGGCCACCATGTTAAATTAGCTTAGAAAACACACCAATTGGAAATCAGACAATTTCTAGGTCATAGAAGTTGGTGGACTAGAAAACTCGACTTACAAAAGTTAAGCCATCCCGACACAAAAGACTTATCAGTGTGTAAGAGGAGGGGCGTGATGATGAGATTAGGTACGTGGACTGTCCAGAAGTCATTTGAAACTGTTATAGTCCATAATAATACTTGCATTATCATATTGAATGAATGCTTATTTCCCGATGGATAATTTGAACTAACTAAGGACTGAATCCAGGGGAATCTATTGGATTTGGAGGAGGGAGAATGGACGATTTTTTTCTTTTGGGGGTTATGGTGCTGAAGAAAAAATTCGGAGAGATTCTGGCGGGAATTTGAATTTTGAAAAGCAAATATCCAGGTGGAGAGAGAATTGGAGGTTTACGTGAAAAAAACAAGAATTTCGAAAATTTTAGAGGAAGTTGGAAAATCTGAAAATTAAAGATGGATTTTTGAATTCTGACCAATTTCCAGAATTCCTGAATTTCAGATTTCACAATTTTCCAATTTCTGAATTCCAGAATTCCAGTATTCCATAATTCAGGATTTTCAGAGTTCCAGAATTCCGACTTTCCGGATTTCCGAATTTCGAACTTTCAGAAGTCCAGATTTTTTAGAATTTCAAAATTTTAGATTTTCGAAGAATTCCGAGATTTTCAAAATTTTCAATTTCGGAATTCCGGATTTTTGGAATCCCAGAGTTCCTAAAATTTCGAGAATTTCCGATTTCCAGAATCTCTGAACTCCGGATTTTCGAATATCCGAAAATTCCAGACTTGCGAAATAGCAGAGTTTCTAATCTCAGAGTTCCACATTTCCCAAATTTCAGGATCTCAGAGTTTCGGATTTTCTAAATTCCAAAATTTATGTAATCTGAATTTCGGATTTTCAGAATTTCCGAATTCCAGATTTTTCCCGAATTCTAGATTTTCCAGTATTCAATAATTTCGGATTTTCCAGAATACTAGATTTCCAGAATTTCGTTCTTTGCGAATTCCGGATTTGCCAGACTTTCTAGAACTTTAGATTTCCGATTTTCCGATTTTCAAATGTCCGGAATTCTAGAGTTCAAGATTTTCAAAGTTCCAGGTGTTCAACGTTCAGGATTTTCAGGTTTTCTGAAATTTCTGGAATCCAGAATTCTGAAAGAAAAGGAAGTCCGGAATTCTGAAAGGAGAAACGGATTTTCTTGAATTTTAGATTTCCAGAATCACCAGATTTTCGGAATTCCAAAGTTCCAGAATTTCCCGAATTCCAGGTGTTCAAAATTCCGGATTTTCAGAATTCCTGACATTCCGAAATTCCAGTATTCCATAATTTCAAATTCTCATAGTTCCATGGTTTTCTAGAATCCCAGATTCACAGAATTCCAACATTTCTGAAATATTCGAGTTCCAATCTGCTGGATTTTCAAATTTTCAAAACTGTCTTTTTCGAATTTCTGACTTCAGGATTTTACGGTTTTTCAAAACACCAGATTCTCTAGAATTGAAAAAAAATCAAGAATAGAAAATTCTAAATTTCCAGAAGCCACCAAATGCATATATATTGTTTTCAGACGTTCTCCAAATGATGGGTCGTGCCGGCCGTCCGCAATTCGACGATTCAGCAGTCGCCGTGATCTATGTTCAAGACTCGAAAAAAACGTTCTACAAGAAATTCCTCTACGAACCATTCCCCGTCGAATCCTCCCTTCTTCCAGTGCTTCCCAACCACGTAAATGCTGAAATTTCAGCCGGAACAATTGATTCAAAGCAGGGAATTGTTGAGTATCTATCAGGAACCTATCTCTATCGAAGACTATTTGCCAATCCCAATTATTATGGTCTAGATGAAGATTCCGAAGAATCAATGCTCAAATTCATTTCTCAAATCGTCGATGGCTCTGTTTCGGAGCTCCTCGAATCGGAATGTATCCACGTGGATTCGGAGAATGACATCATCGGACCGACGGCGTTTGGTAGAATCGCATCGGTTTATTATTTGCAACACGAAACGATTCGATTCTTGGTGAAGACGTTGCATTCGGGATGTACTGTTGAACAGATGTTGAAGGCGTTGACAGATGTGCCGGAGTATGCGGAGATTCCGGTTCGACACAATGAGGATTTGATTAATACCGAGTTGCAGGTAGGGTAGATTTAAGAACTTCTGGATTTCAGAAATTCGGAAATCCTAAAAAAGGCAAATTCGAAAATATAGAAATGCTGAAAATTTGTAAATTCAGAATTTTCGAAAAACCTGAATTTTCAGGAATTCGAAAATTCAGAAACTTAAAATACCTAAAATTCGTAAATTTGAAAATTTTTATTTTCAGAATTATGAAAATTAAAAAGATTCGAAAAAATCTGAAAATCTGTAATTTTGATAGTTTACAAAATTTTTAATTTTTAAAGAAATTTTCTCAAAATGTTGCAAGTTATTTGGAAATATTCAGAATTTCAACATTTTCCGAATTCACTAAAAAACCGAAAATTCTAGAAATTCAGTAATTTAAAAGTTAGGGTATTCTAGAAATCGAAGAATTCAGAATTTCGAAATTCCAAAATTTGGATAACTTGGAATTTCTGAATGTTCAAAATAATCAGAAAATTAAAAATTTGAAAACTAAAAATTGTAGACTTTTCGAAATTCTGATAATTTAGTAATGTAGGTAAAATACTGAAAAAAAAACAAAAACTTTGAAGTATTCGATTTTTCAGACTGAAAATTCTAGAAATTCGGAAGTTCGTTCAAATTTCGAAATACTTGGAATTTCAGAGAACCGAAATCCCAAAATAGCTGAAAACTCAGAAATTCGAAATTTTCAAAATTTCCTACTCTCCCGATTTCCAGAAAAAGCTGCGAGTCCGTTTCTCAACATCAGTAATGGGAACATCGGCATGTAAAGCACACCTTCTATTCCAAGCTCATTTCATGCGAACCCTTCTCCCAACCGATTACCGGACCGATTTGAAGAGTGTTCTGGATCAGTGTATTCGCATTTTGCAAGCGATGAGAGAAATGGCAAGACTCAAAAATTGGTTGAGTGCAACTATGAATATTGTCTTGTTGCAACAAATGTGTCATTCTGCTAGGTTTGTTTTGAAAAATCGATAATTGATTGAAATTCGTTTGTTTTTCTCTTTCAGATGGCACGACGATCATCCCCTTCTATGCCTTCCTCATCTAAATTACGAAGACGCTCGTTCTCTCGGCGATCATCTAACGATTCCACAACTTCAGAATCTTCTTGAAGTCGAGAAATCCACGTCGTCAGAAGACGTGAAACTTCAGAAGCGCGCCTTTAAAATGTTCCGAGAATGCACGAGGCTGGATGAGACACAAATGAAAGAAGTGCTGAAGGCGTTGTGTCACTGGCCAATTGTGAATGTGAGAACGATGCAGTTTGTGGATTCAGAAGGAGGGATTCTGGATTTGGAGGAGGAGAGAGAAGTTAGAGTCAAAGCTGGTGATGTGTACAAATTGAGAATTGTCATGGAGAGAATGGGTCCGGCGAAGGTGAGATTTTTTCAATTTCCAAGGCCAATTCTTGGAGGCTCAATTATCTGGATTCATGTCAGAGACATCAAAAACTTCAACTGGAAAAATGCTTGGCATAATATCTCCAATATTTTATCAGTTGACAAATTCTTGATATCTCTTGCAGGAATCCAGATAAATGAGCTCAAAATGAAAGTATTGGGACCCGTTCTTTTAGAGAATTTACAGTATCACTCAAAGCTTTGAACTTTGAGCCATAGTTGCAAACAGGCCGCCCGCCCCGGGCAGACGGACAGATAAGATATTTTGACGGATTTGATATCAAATGATAGATCTNNACGAGGTTTATNTATTTTTTATGGGGAATGNTTTGATATTATTAAGAATGAACAATGNTGGAGAAGTGGTGGAAANGTGTAATCCATNGTNGTNAGGTTATTGGNGANTAGACCAACGAGCCGGGCATGCGCAGCTTCGTCGATGCTCGTAAAATGCAAATTGTCGACAATACGGCTTATCGAATCGCGTAAATTCTAGAAAATTCCAATTTTTCGACCCTAAAAACGGGTTTTTCGGCAAAAACTCACATGTAAAACTGCATTTTTCCGGTGTCATCGTGCGCAAGTAACTTTCTGAAAAAAAATCGAAAATCATTGCAAAATACAGTAGTTGCAGTTCTCGCTGCGGTACATTGCTACAAAACGCGGCATGCGCCTTTAAACGGACTACTGTAGGTGAATTTTTTGCAGATGTTTTGTTTTTTTTGTCGTTTTCGGCCTATTTCCACCTATTTCCGTAGATTTTTTTGCAAAAAAGAGAGAAAAGTTGAAAAAGAAGATGTTTATTGATGTCTGGGTGCAGTGCGGACCATTCCGAAACAAGCAAAGTGCTCAAATAGACAAAAAAGAATACAATTTTCGAAAATCAAAGAAACGGAAAACACCTAGAAAACCCCATGAAAAACTAAAGAAACAAGAAGATTAACATACAGAAATCTGGAAAAAAGTGAGTAAATTTTAACACAGCTTTTTGGGAGGCACTGGGAGATGAGAAACAATAGAAAATGGGAAAAATATTCTAAAGACTACAAGAAAGATATGAAAAAGCGATGAGTCATCTGGGAACAAAAAATCGAAAATTCTAGAAATTTCCAACAAAAACAAGGAAAATCAATAATTTAAGAAACATCCAGTCGAAGTGTGTACTCTTGGTCGATTCCCAGATAGCAATCGCTGAGAATGTAAACGGAAAGCGAATGTTTTCCTCTGAACATTTTTATCATTGAAATACGCAAATTTAAGCTATTCTAGAAAAAAAAAATCAATGTTCTTACTTTGCCGCTGGAATTCTGATATCCAATTTAGCCGTTGAACGTGTCGAATGCGACCCGACGACGGTAGTGGTATTCAGAATTTGATCGTTGAATTCACGGCCGACAATGATAATCCATCCGGCTTGTTTGGGTTTTGGCCATTGTGGGAGGTGCATTTGAGAGTTGTTCTGTAAGATTTCGGCATTTTTGGGATTATGAATTCTAGAATTGCGGAATTTTTGGTACCCAAATTTTTGAATTTGGAGCCGTTTTTAGATGCTCAAAG